AAACTGTTTTCTCTCGTTCCGGTCGAGCTTTGTTCGGTTTTGACCGTTTTGGTTGCTATAGCAACCATTACTTGATGACTGTTTCCTAACATTCCTTCTAGAACATTCTAGAACGTTTTCGTTCCGGTTGAGCGACCTTGAATCTTTAAGCCTACTGTTCCAGCAGTCGAACGCTTCATGAAAAGAGTTTATTGTTGCTACTACAAACTTTTCGTCTAATTCTGATTCGGGCCAGGGATCATTGAAAGGATCACGCGATAAATAATCAACTATGCCCATGTCCCTCCCCGGAATGTGAACTATGTTGAACTGATACGGCAGTAACCGGTCAACCCACCGGGTTAGGCGTGATTGGTAGGTCTTGTTCGATTGATTAACATCCAGTGCTGTTGTAAGCGCTTTATGGTCAGTTGCGATGGTAAATGGTTTCCCCAGAAGGTAGTGTTTATATCTATCTACTGCCCAAACAACTGCCAATAATTCCAACTCATTTGTTGAATATTTTTTTTCTTGCGCATTTAGGTATCGGGAAGCGAACGAAATTGGGACCCACAACCCTTCATCATTTTGTTGTTCTAAAGTGGACCCTAGTCCATCATGGCTAGCATCGCATTTAACTCGTGTTTCCCGATTTGCATCGTAATAATGCACTTTCGTAATATTCGCCACAGCTCCTTTTATAGCATTAAATGCTTCTGTGTGAACATCCCCCCACTCGAATTTTTTCACCGGTAGTTTCATGTTTTTTAACTTTTTCTTTTGATTTTCTTCTTTAAGAAGTGGTCTTAATTTTTCTGTCAGACTTGCTACGTTAGGTATAAATTTAGCTAAATGATTTATACTTCCTAGAAATGACCTTAGTTGTTTTAGGGATTTGGGCGGGTTCAAGTTTACTACCGCTTCCGTTTTAGTGATCTTCGGTCTAACCCCTTCTTCTGAGAGATGATGACCCAACCAATTCACTTCTTGTTTGAAAAATTCACATTTTGATAGTTTCAGTGCCAAGTTTTCCGCATCCAATTTCTTTAATACTGCTTCTACTAGATTGGCATGTTCGATTTCACTTCCCTTTGACACAATAAGTATGTCATCCAGAAAACAGAACGTGTTTTTAGCGTGATTGATGGTTCTATCCATAGCCTTTTGAAATTCAGCTGGCATATCTGCTAGTCCGTAGAATCCTGTCAAGAATCTGTAAGTTCCGGTTGCTTTTCCGCCCACAATGTTAAAGTTGCATTGCCTAGCTGTATCCTCAGCTAATTTTAGTTGACTGTACGCATATTTCAAATCTAACACCGAAAAATATAGCGTACCCTTTTTGTTTTCAGTTACAATCTGGCTTACCCCATCAATAAGTTCATCTACATTTGGCATTTGGTATTTGTTTTTGAACAATTGTCTATTGATTGGTTTCGCGTCCATTGCCAATTTTATTGAGTCGTCCTTCTTTACTGTTATCACAATCGGGGCGATAAAGCAATCACTTGTACACTTATCAAGTTTTGTTATATGACCTTCTGTCAATAACTTCTCGATTTCTTTTTCGACTTTATCTTGTATATGAATTGGGATTCTTCTCCCCTTTTCTTGTATCGGACATAGTGGGTATTTGAATTTTGAACTGACGATGTGGTTTTTAGAAATGCCTTGCCTTTCGAATAAGTTCTTAAATTTATTTAAAAATATTTCTTTCCAACCTTCCGACTGCTCGCACATGAGCACGTCAAACCTGGTGAGTTCTTTTGGCGCTGTTCTTTGTGTAGTCACTATTCCCACTTGTCCTTGCAAGTCTAATCCCATGATGCATCTAGTTTTTCGCTCTGATACCAGAAAGGTTGCGCCCTTAACTTCCCAGCCCGCTGACCTCAGATTGGTTTTTAGGGCTCCCAGGATACTGATCGGTTGTTTGTTGTAGTCCACAAATTTTGTTTGTAAGTTCAATTTGTCAGACGGTATGAATCTCACTTTGTTTGATTTTTCCATGATTTCTTTCGTCGTTGCCCAGTTAAGAAATGAAACAGGACTACCAGTATCCACTGTTAGCTGAATAATCTGGTTATCTATTCGTACCATAGCCTTTAGTGACTTTACGCGGTTCAATGTTGGATCTCGAATAGAGTCTATTTTCTGAACTCTAACCACTTTTCCGTTTGTTTCTTTTCTCATCTCATTTATTCGATCTTTCACATATTTTGAAACTCGTTCATTTTCCGGTTGTTGAGTTTGTATCAACATGACTTCAAATTCACTACAAGACCCAACACCTTCACTGATCTGGTCGCATTCCACTATCGATTCTTCCGAATCTTCCGCAACTTCACTTACTTGTTGTGATCTGCACATTTTAGCGAAATGATTTGGTTTACCACAGTTTTTACAGTCCTTTCCCATCGCTGGACAATTTTTTAGGTGTCCTTGTTCAAACGTCCTTCCACATCTATTACATGGTTTTGTTTTCGTGTTTTTATTTTTGTTATTATTCTGTCTGTTATTATTTTCTCTTCTATTTGGAGTTTTGGTTTTCCCCCCCAAATTTCGAACTGCCATTACAGGTTCCTGTTTTATTCTTACACCCGATGTGTAATTGCTACTTGATCCTCCTGCCGCCGCAGCATTAGTCTTTTGAAATGCCATTGTGGTTAACTTGCTATGTTCGAATTTTATAGCCCTTTTTAGAACTTCCTCTGGATCCAGGGTTTCGAATGTCAACGTGTCCTGTAATGTCATGTTCTTCATCTTCGAGATGAACAAGTCTCGCACTATTTCATTTTCCAATGTTCCTAGTTCTGATCGGGCTGCTTGAGCAGTTAACGCTGCGTGGAATGATTCCAGAGATTCTCCAGGTTCTTGCATTCTCGTAAATAACTTGTATCTCTCGTATGTTACACATTTCACTTTTTGAAACGAGACTTCTGCCAACTCTGTTACTTCTCTGAACGTCATTTTCGATATTTCTGCGTGCGGATTCTTTTGTAGGAATCTTTTCTTTCCCTCAGTGCCCAAAGATAGAAATAGTCGTGACACCAGTTTCTTTTGTACTTCGTTGTAGAAGACATTGTGTCCGACTCGTGGGCCTCTTGTTCTTTTCTCTTCGTTCTCCAATGCTACTCTGTCTCTAGCTAGTTTATCTCTAAGAATTCTGGCGTTCCTCGCATCTTCGTTCTCCCCATCCCTGGGCGTTTCCGGGCGTGGTGGTGGTTCCTCTAATATGTCTTTTGGTTCTTCCAAAATAATCTCTGGGTTCACATTTTCTTTGACCGTAACCGCCATGAGAAATTGTTCGAACCAGATTTTAAATTGCCACGGAGGGTCTAGATTCGCTGATGCCCAAAATACCGGGATTCCCATATCCGTTCTGTTGTCTTGAGCTGCGAATCCTGCTGACTGCGCCATGTGATATGCGTTGCAATATCAAATTGAAAACAAGTTGGAATTCAATACTGTATTCTGAATATTGAATTTAGATTTTCTCTTTTCTTTGTTTTCTTATGTACTGAGAGATAGATCATTGTTAAGTACTCTGATCTCTCACTTAGTCTCAGTGTCATCACTTATGTATGACCTTGAGCGTACCATAAAATAATGATTTAACACCAGAGGTTGGCTGTACATACGTATAATAAATACTGCTACTGCAGTAGCGGTATGACACAACTATTGCATACAAATTGATATTATAAACAATCAAAAACAAAACCACAAAATATCAATTTGAACGTAATTAATTCCAAAACTTCTTTCAAAATGATGAAAAACACACGACCCAAAAAAGTCCTCATCGGGTTGATTGACTCTTTTTTTTTTACTTCAACTTAGTTTTTAGTGATTTCACTGCCTTTTCTGCTTGATTTCTTTTTGAGGAGTGATAAGGCAAACTCAAGTTGCAAAAAAAAGATAACTGGGTGCTGTACAAGTAGCACAGGCTTTTCCGACCACCGATGTCTAACAAATAAGAATAAAATTTAAAAAAAAAAACAAAAAAAAACGGAAAAAAAGCTTCCGAGATTTTTGAATTTTAGCTCATTTTATTGTTAGTTTTTGCAAGTGAATTAGGTAGAAAAACTGCAAGAGTGACTATTAAAAACTAGTAAACTTATAATGAAAAGCACTAGTTTTTTTTCAGCTATGTGTTTTGATTGCTATACTGGCTCAAGACTGAACGAAATAGCAATGCTTTTTATTATGTTTTCTCGACACTGAGAAATCGTTTCAAAAACTTTATAATGCAGTTCGCTTCACGACTGGAAGGGCTTTAATAGGATATATCACTAGGTAGTTTAATTTTTAAAGAAAAATTAGACAAAAACTAAAACCAACCGCAAAAAAAAAGATTTCTTCCCCATTTCCGGTGGTTGGATCAGAACCTGAATCAATTGATAGTTTATTTATAGTCCTGGTAACTATACAAGTTTACAAGTTGAAATAAAGCTCTAGCTCCTTTTCTCCTGTCATATTTTGCTGTGGAGCTTAGTTTTTCTCCCACTTAGTATTTTAATACGAGTCCAAGCTAAAAATATATCAAATTATCTACCCCCCCAAGGGTTTGAATAATTTTTTTTCTTACTGAAAATTTATCAAGCGCACAGTAAAAATATGCTTGACAAATCATAAATCAATTTACTGCCTTAAAAAAGTTCTTGTTACTTTTTACAGTTCACTAACTTAAATGCTTACAATAGATCTCAAATACTTCAAGTTGAATCGCGATTTCCAAGTTTTATCAATGTCGATGACTGATTGCCCATTTTCTATCTGTATATGTTGTTTATTAGGTCTTTTTTTTTACATATTTTGGACCTGTTTTTCAAAAAGTGTCTTAGCTCAAAGATGAATGCCATAAAAAAATCTCAGTAGACTTTTTTGCTCCTGAAAAACATCAGCCAGAATAGTTTTCGTAGGCACAACACGCTTCTCTAGGAACAACACTGTTTCTAAATATAGCTGGTAAGTTTTGTCATCTCTCTATCTTATGTGCGTTTTCTATTTGTTTAGATTGTGTGTTAATCTACCTGAAGTTTCTCTGCATGTACTGTGTCATTCTGAGTTCCAGGTTTCAGCATGTCTCCAAAACCCAAAACGAACCCAACAGTTGGGCGCAAGTTCTTCTTGCATACCGGGGCTACTGTCGCACCTCGATTCTTGGTAACGTTTCGCGCCAGCTTCGCCACCGCGATGTCGTCTCCGAGGATGACCCAATTGTAGCCGACTGCGTGTCGTATCGAGTCCACGCCTATGATCTCTCGAGTCCCGGACTCATCATTCGGATCCCAAGTCAGTTCTCCTGTTAATTTTTAATTAATTAAATCAAAAAAATTGAATAAAAAAAAGCATTGTTTGTTTTGCAGCCGTGGTATTCGACGTATGTTTAGACCAACTCCATCTAGTTTGGGTCTTTTCCATCCGTTTGAATAAAGTTCATTACGAGGCCAAACTGTGCATTCTCTGCATTGTAAGCGGAATCCGCAACACATCAAAATCAGATTTGTCGCGGAATCCGCAACATTGCTACTTTTCTTTGATCTTCTGTGCTGTTTTGGATTCCACAAACACATACCTAAATCATTGTACCGCTCAAAATCGCTCCAAAAATAGGCGAATTTGCGGAATCCAAAATTTACGTTACAGGTATATGTATGCGGAATCCACTGAACTTTTGTTTGTGGAATCCACTTACATTTTAGAACATATTTTAAGACTTGTCTCTGGAATCCAGGAACATACAGACACAAAATTGTGCTCCTATCCAGTGCACAGTTTGGCCTCGTAATGTTGTTTTATGAAAACAAAGAAAACTCGATTTTGCTCGACCCCGCTGAGATACGACCCTCCGACTAAAAATGAGTCAGTCTCGACTGTCTTGACTATTATCACCACAGAAATACTAAGATCAAAATTGGCCGACCCACCAAAGATGTTTTAGTCTCGACTGTGTCAATTATCTGGACCGATAAATAAAATTGGGGTTAAATTCCTTTCGTGAAGCAGTCCAAACAATTATCTTGCAATAGAAACATCGAACTATCACACTGTATCTGAAAAAAATTCTACAATTTTGTTCTCGCACCACGGGAGCCCTTAGATCTCAAAGTTTTGAAGAAATCTCAATAAAATTTATCAAATTTACGAAAATACCCCATTAAATTAAGGAAGTGCTCGACCTCTCGCGCTGGAGTTCCATGGATAATAATCGATTGTATTGTCATTTTATAGTCAGTTTCTTAAAAAATACAACAATAATCGATTATAATCCATCAGAAATGGATTATAATCCTAGTGCTTTTATATCAATATAATCCATTATAATTGTTTATAATCGAATATAATCCAGATATAATCAGAATTTTTTTTAATCATTCTAATCCATTATAATAAATTTATATTATAATATTTTATAATATAATTTTTTTCAAAGTTATTTCATTTCCTGTTTTGTGAAGTTGCTACGTATTACGTTTTATAAATGTTTACTTAGTATTACCCCCTGTCTATCTTAGTTTAACCCCCACCCCCGTTTACTGAACGTGGACGGGGTAAAAAATGGGGTGGATGGTGAAAAACTTGGGTGAGGCGAGCAGGCCGTGACTAACGAAAAAATGTTGCAAATTTTTGCAAAGAAATGTAGAGATTATAATCCGTTATACTCAAATATAATGGATTTAAAATAGATTCTACTCCATTATAAGGGATTTTAATGGATTGGGTTTTTACAAAAAAAATCAATAATAATGACAATATAATCGATTTTGTGGACTAAATTTATTTGCAACAAAAAAAATGGATTATAATGACAACATTTTAGACAACAATCTTCCATTATAATTGATTATTATCCATGGAACTCCGGTGCGGGTATGTTTTGGCTGACCTCGATCTAGACGTTGACGATCTCTTTCAAATCAAGAATTAGACAAATTATTTAATACCAAATGAATAAAAGAAAAACTAACATACGAATCACTAATATGGAATACAAAAACAAAAATTTACCTGAAATACGGACACTATGCAATTCTCTAATAAATTCTAATATGAATATTGTTGAGCAAATTCTAATTGAGCTTAAACAGTCTATAGACAACCTAATGCATGAAACAAGAGATACTGATTTGATTGATTGCGACAAATTCAACAAATTGTTCGGAAAAAAGCAATGAGTTGGTTACATAACTAAAATTGGATTGTAAAGCGCACACAAAAAAATTGTTATAAATAAAAATAACAATTTAAACAAAAAAATGGAAAAAAAATGTCATTAGGTGTCAAACTTCAGTTTTCGAACTTCAAAACAAAAACATTTTGGCCTTACAGCCTATTTAATTTCGAGAACAATTTATGATTGACAATGTTTTGATAAAAAATAACCCAATTTGAGAAAACTGGCTTCTTTTTTTTCCACTGGGAAGTCTGAAACAATAACCCACTTTCAAAAACAAAACTTTGCAACCTCCACACTTTTTAATTTGAATGTGGAGATTGCCTTCCTTTCTACCAAAAAGTGGACTAACTTCAAAACGCCAAAAAAAAATTTTCGGAAAAAAAAACTAAAAAAACTTTCACCAAATATAAAAGGGTCTTCTCTAAATTCATCAACTCTTAATAAAAGTTCTTGAATTTGAAGTTAAAACATAATCGAACAAATCAATCCAACTTTTCTTTTTTGATTCCGTTTTCCTAAATCTTTAGAAGCTTTAAATCGGAGCTGGATAGAATTTCTGATCAAACTATGCTGAGATTTTAAGTTTAAACAGAGTTTGCTTTTCAAAATTGATCCTGATTTTGCATTGAGTCTGATCTTCAGCAATTGCTTAAACAAATGACCACCCAAAGCATATTTTATGTAAGACACATCATGAACAGTTTCCGTGACTCTTATTTTTGCGTAAATAAATAAATAATCAGAAAAAAGTGCGATTATCCATAGTTTCTTCTGACTCTGTGGGTTTGGCCATAAATTTTTTTTAATTACAATTGAATCATTGATTCCAACAAATTTAGTTGTATTAGCAAAATAACGAAAGCTTTGGAAATCTTATAGTTGTTAGAAGGTACTGACATGTGAAAACCAATTCAATTTTAAACTGAAATTAAAGCTGAAAAAATGAAATAGTGCAAGATTGGCCGTTAAAATTTGCAGTCCACTTAAAAAATACCGAGTTTACAAAAATGCTAATCATTACCGCTGCTCCAGTATGAGAAATGTGCTCCATAAGTCCAAAAAATGCTCAAAGCTTCTATGACTGGCAATTGAAAAAGCTTTTTTGATGAAAATACGTTGTTCAAACATTTTCACAAATATCCTATAAAGATGCTCAAAAAAACTCATGCATTAATTTTTTTTGTTCAGACCACTGAAAGTAGGGAAGATCTCTTTATTCGCGTTTGTTTTAGTTTTCTTTTTTTGTTGTTTTTCACGCAAAATCATTTCCGGGGATGGATTTTCAAAAAAAAAAATGAAAACTTCGTCGAACTTTTTTTTAGGTCGACCAAATTGATTTTGTGAGCTCTCCCAAAGCACTAAAAAGACCTTATTTTGGCCAAAATTTGTGCGCCGCAGGCAAAATTTTAAAAAAACAGGCCAAAAAGACGTTTACCAAAAAATCGCGTTTTTTCGGCGCGCGCTCCCCCCTAATTTTTTTTAAAAAAATTACCAAAGGGGGGACACTTTGGGTCGACATGGGGTCGAATCCCTTAAGGGGAAGGCGTCCGCAAGTCCCCCCCCCCGCCCCCCTAAATCCGTCCCTGGTAACAAACATAATTGTTTAAATGGGCCGAGTGATAAAGCATATTGCAAACCCTGAAGACGTGATTCGAAACCTATTAAAAATTTTTCTAAGAAAATTTTCAGCCTAGAAAAAAATTTATATTGAGCAGGCTTGAAAATATAGCAAATGAGCAAGCCTGTAAAACATAAGCAGCCTGTAATTTTTCTAATTTGACTTGAGATAAATATTTTTGAAGCTTCTCTTAGCGCTTTCTTGGCAACAACAAGCGCAAAAATCTGCAAAAACAAATTTAAAAAAAATAACACAATATTTTGGTTTTTTAATTTTTGTTAGTAAAAAAACTTTTGATAAAATCGTTGCAAATATGCGTACTGTACTCTTACTTTTGATTGTATTTGTTTTCTAAGCTTTTGTTTTGCGGGAAAAAACCCATGCTTTAATTGATTTTTGTGGGAGAAACTTTCTTTCTTTTTTCATTATTGAAATCACATCAAAACAAAAACGTTAGAATAGAATGTGAGAAATTTTTGTGTTGTTTTGAAAGAAGTACATTTTTAAAACTGCTGAGGAAATTTTTTGCTATAGAAAAACGTTTCTTGCTTTTTCAAGCTTAAGCTAGCAAAAATGCATTCTATATTGGGAAAAATAATTTCTATAGATTTTTTCATGATTATTTGGTCTATGCTATAAATTTTTTTTTATAATTTAAAAAAAACATAGCTAACTGACTGTTGGAAACAATAAGAAAAATAAGTAAACTGAAAAAAACCCTGAATTGTTTGAAAAAATCTTTCGAATTTCAACGAAAAAACAGACGCCCTTTCAGCTCTTTAAATTTTGATTAGTTTTATGATTGGCGCTTTTTTGATAAAATTAACCCAACATGAGAAAACTGGATCACCACTTAAAATTTTAATTCCGCCGGAAATCTAAAATTTAAATTCCCACTCTCGAAATTAAAAATCGTTAAAAATTTTTTGCGCCATTTTCACGTTCGTATTTGAAGAGTGCTATTTATTTCACGTTCATCAGATGAATTTCAATTTAAATCAAAAAGTGCATATATACCTAAATGATTTCTTAAATGCATTAATACGTATGAATGTACATAAGTAGTTATGCGAGCATTTGAAACTTTTTCCTGAAAAGAAAAAACAAAAAAAATCACTAAGACCTATATAAGAGTCTTCAATATTAACATCACTCTTAAAAATTCAGCCTCATGCTAAACTGCACTGACCAGAACATCCCAGAAAATTAAGTTTTAACGGAAAATTTTTTTTTAACGGGAACTTCGAATTATTTTCTCGATCTTTTTAAATAAACCACGCAAAAAGCCTTAGCTATTGCCGAAATCTTTAAAAATTCAGCAAAAATTTTTGCGCTGCAGGCAATCTTCACAATGAAATTTCCATATTGATTGTAAAGCTTTCAAGGTTTTCTGAGAAAATAAAATAAAAAATATCGCGACTTAAATAAAAGTCTGAACTACGTTCATCGACTCTTAGACAAAATCCAAAACAGGGGAAAACTTTTAATGCCCTTTTTAATTGCAAAAATCTGCTATGCTCAAACTAACTTTTCCCGAAAAAAATTTCGCATTCAAAAACTCGCAAAATCATAATTTTTTTTGTGATGCACTCTATAACATAAGCCAGAGCATGCACATATGGTGTTCTTAGAGGATTTTAGGACTACTAGAGGATATTGCAGATCATAACTTCACAGGAATTTGAAAATTCCCAGGAAAAATTTTTCTAACAGGGATGTGAACTTTTTTTTGGTCTTTTTAAATCAGCCACCCTAAAGGCCTTAACTTTTGCCGAATTATTTAAAAAAATTGGCGAAATTTGTGCGCTGCAATCAATCTCTACTATGAAGTTTCCATAATGATCATATGCGGAAGACACTTGTCATAAGGCGATGATATTCGGAATTTTTTGAAAGATACCCCAAGATCATCTCTGTATTGCCCTCCGCGCAAGCAAAATGATTTTTATTCAATTCTCTACAATTAAAATTATATGACAAGAAATTTTTAAAAATATATAATTCAAAAAAAAAGTGAGAACATTCGTAGTTGATATGATACATATAGGGTTTAAAAACTAACCTTAGAGACTTAAAAGTTTAAAATAAACAAATAATTTTAAAATAATTTCCAAAATAAAATAATTGAGAAAACTGATAATTAAATTCGAAGTTCAAAATTGGAAATCAGTTACCATTTTTGCTATTTTTTACAATTTTGCTGTTCGAAAGTGGACTTTGCCTTGTTTTTAACAAAAAATGAGCTGAAGATACAAAATCAAACCGCAAAAGATTAAATTGCTTTAAATTTTTCCTGAGAAAAAATTAAAAAACATCGCAACCCATATAAGAGTCTGAACTACGTTCATCGACTCTTAAGCAAAATCCAAAACAGAGGAGAAACTTTTAGTGCTCTTTTTAGTCGCAAAACTCTGCTATGCTCCGACAAATTTTTCCCACAAAAGTTTCGCTCTTAGAAAAACCGCGAATGCATAAACTTTCTCTGACAATGTCTGTACGGTAGTCCAGAGCATAGATCATACACATTATTTTCTCAGTACCAAATTAATTGTAAAATAGAAAATTTGTTGTGTGTAAAAGCAGATCCTTTAAGCTTTCAGAAACGCAAAAGTCCGAACTCATAATAAATTAAGTTTTACTTTCATCTGGACAAAGCCTCACAAGTGACTTGAATTTAATTTGATTATTTGAGGAAGTTCCACATTTTCTCTATTTTCGGCGAAATATTTTTCTGCTGGAAAAATTGACAAAAATTCCTGACCGTGTTGTTTTTTGATTCTCTAAAATTAGCCAAATAAAATTGACCACACAAATTTCAGTTTTGGTTTTTTTCTTATGGCGTTGAGTCTGATTGGCTAAGTAGCCAGTTAAATTCAAGCAGGTCCAGCATTTTCATTAAACTTCAACAAGATTAATTTGTTAGCCGAAATGACCAAAAAAAATAGAAAATTCGTTCTGTTGAAGCTATTTTAGTGTACTTGTTCATATGGGCAAAGCCTTTTAAGTGACTTGAATTTAATTAGATTATTTGAGAAAATTTCTCATTTTCTGTATTTTCGGCGAATCCTATTATCTACTGGAAAAATTGATAGAAATGCTTGACCGTGTTGCTTTCTGATTCTCTAAAATTATCCAATTAAAATTGATCACGTAAATTTCAGCTAAAGATGTAGAAAAATTAATTTTGGAACATTTAGTGCTTAAGACCCAAATGTCTGTACTATTTTTTCGCTGTTTGAAAAACCTATACAGGATCATGAATTTGAATGGCTAGTATTTTCGCCAAATTATTTCGTGAAATGTAGCTGAAAATGTCTGAAAAATGTCATTGACTTTTTCAACTACTTTCGCTTAAATCAGAAATTTTTTTATTTGATGGCTGGATATTTTTCCATGTTTTATTATGCTCGATGCAATAATATTCCACCAACCGATTTGATATCAGTAATAAAAATTTTAATGTGAAAAAAGGTCATTTCACCCAGCAGCTTAAAAGTGTTAATGATAAAAAATGTGCTAAAATATGCAATGCTCTTGCCTTACTTGGTGTTGGACAGTAGCGTCCGTGAATGTTTTCTAACCGAATGAGTAATAAAAAAGCTCTAAAGATATCAAATTTAGTATAATAACAAGACTGCTTCTATATCAGGGCAAAGCCCTGAATATTCGGACTGCCCCTTAATCCATATCGAAGTTTTTGGGAAGAGATCATTAATGAAAAACTATACGTTTTGGATAATATCAAAGATCAAGTGTGAAAGTTAATACGACCGATCCTTTAATTCTTTTTGGATCAATTTGGTTGTGCGGGATAATTGGCCACGTTTAAATAATTCGCGTTACGCTTTCAGAATTGTGGATAAAATCTACAAAACGAGCATAAATTAGTCCAGTTTTTGGCCAAATTGGCAATTTTCGGCTCTTTTAACCTCCCCCCCCCCGCCTCACACGAGCTTCATTATATTAGTGTAACGAGTGGATTTACGAGGTTGAATATGAAGACCAAATATGTTTCTCGTGGCCTTATGTAAATTTTTATTACAATCGGACAATGTCATCAACAAATTTACATTTAAGAAACTGCAGGGGGGGGGGGGGGGGGGGCGGGGGATAAGGAAAGAGAGCCCAATTTTCAAACTCCCAAAATTTTGCAAAAGTTGATCGGAGGTAAAATATGTTTTCAAATTTTAAGGAGTCGATATCTTCATCGCGCATAAAAATTTCTTGTTAAAAACTATTTCGATCGACGAACTGACTGCATCAAAAAACCACGCCAACATAGATTATCCGCTTTCTTCGAAAATGGGAACAATAAAGCAGTTTTACAGTTTTAGTCAAACTGCTTTTTTATCATAAACAAGCAGTTTCAATGTGAAGAATCATTGGTCTGATTTTTTGCTATTGAAACTCAATTTAAGCTAAAGAAGCGGCGCAAAACTTAGCGAAGAGCGACTACTTTTTTTCTACAATCAACTCTTTTTTTACAGTTTGACGCCATGAATTATTTTAAAATATGATGTAAGAGCTAGTTCAAACTGAAGGTTAAAAGGCTCTAAAATGTTTACTTTGTATTTTTGACAAAGAATGCATTGATTTTTTTTATATTTAACAAATATGACTGTATTAGCTCTTCTAGTATATCATTGGTGTGATTTGAAATGGGTCTGAAGGCTAAAATTAAACAATGAGGTAGTACAAAAATTGATATTGCTCAAAATATCAAAATTCTACAAAAACTTAAAAAAATTGAGTAAAAAATATTTTAAATTTGAAATGCCACATTTCGTTTTGATAAAACCTTCTCTTCTAACCCAATCTCATCTGGAAATCTTCCGCCTTTTGGTACTTGGCCTTTAGGGTATCAGGATCTACCAGTTGCGGAGGGTTATCTTCTGGTTTCCACGCATCCAAGAAACAAACAGCAGCTGTCATCACCAGATTGTTGTCTATCAAAGCTCCCCCACAAGTGGTGAGCGGTTTGTTGTTATGATCATACGAGGAACTAGTACCGATTATCACGTGCGGGTTTTGGTTGGCAGTCGTGTAATTAGTTCCGTCTTAAGAAAACATAAATTTATTTGATATATAAGAAATCGTATACTGAAAAAGTTATTTTATATGAAAATTATACTTACGGAAAATCCTTTTAGCTGCTTCAAATATATAAGTTCTTCTTTGAATCTGTAAAAAAATCACCTTTTCAGACAGGTGCTTAAATTTCCTTTTGAGGGTGCTTTAACTATCCAAACAAATTAAAACTTCTTCAGTAGTCAGTATTATAAGAAAAAACACGTTTTTTTTTGTTTGGCTTCAAAACGTGTATTATCTGAACAACATTTTTTTTAGATATTGCATATTTTGAATAGCTGAATAGTTTGAACGAAACTCATTAAAAAAATAAATTACAAGTGAGAATTAGTAGTAATGGTTGCTTACTAGAAGTGGACGTCTTTCTGCTTTGATAAGTACAGCCAATAAAACTAAATTCAAGCCTGATACGATAGTCGTGAACTTCATAGCTGAGCTTCTTGTATAAATTGACTTTAAATAAGTGTGTTTTTTTCTCTGACGATTACAGAAGTCAGTCAAATCGTGGCTCGGAGCAGAATGAAGCGAAAGAACAGCGGGAAGAAATTGCGAGATGAGTCAGTGTTTCTTCAGACCGCAAACGGAAAAATCAGAAGTCAAACCGGTTGCTTCCAAAAAAACCAACAGCAACGTCATTTTTTAACATGCAGATGGTTTAATGAAACTTTTTGTGATCAAAAGATTGAAACCGAGATGAAATGATCGGCTCATTAGGTCGTACGATTGTTAAACTATTTTAGTAGAACCTATACTCCGTTTTTTAAATTTTAATATTTTTTTAATACTCCTCAATTTATTAGAAAACTGTCCTAAATTTCATTCTGATGTATACATAGCTCAAACCTTTTGAGCAATCGAAAGATTTCCACGTAAATTATCATTGATCAAGGTGAATGTGAAACGCTCAAGCTAAAAATTATTTAAAAAAATTGAGCTTTAAAACTATCCTTAGCTTTAAAAGTATCCTCTATAAGTCCAGATGATTTGCTGCTTTCTGAGCTTTTCCGTAGAGATCAGAACAAACACAAAAAATTGCAGCGGATGAATTATTGTACGTTCCGACCAAAGATCTTGATGAAAAAATATGTTCTTATTCAATTTTTTCCACAATTTTTCCCATGCTTATGGCGAATCAATTTAAAAGTTTTTTTTTGCATACAGCCAATAACTATTTCTCATTTTTACTCAAACCGATTGATAACTGAGGTCCATATATGTATTCATGCTGAAATGAATGCAAATAAATTTCTGACTTACTAGTTTTCACATGTTATTGCTTTTTGTCAGATCCAAAACAACCACAAAAACTCAGAACTGAAATCTATATCTAATACAGATTTATTTCAGGTCTGAAATAGCTATGAATAACAAAATGATCTGAAATAAAATCTGCAAAAAAAAACATTCTTGAATTATTCAAGAATTACTTAAAAGTCTTACAACCCTATTCAGATCTGCATTGTGTTCCTTGACGTCCACTAACTTCCTTATCAGTTGCTTTTACTGAAAACACTAATTGCTTTGATCCCAATTGCATTGAAATACAATTGCGATTTGAAGTCATGCTTTCAAATGTTGAAATTTATACAATGCTTGCTTTGGTAAAGCATTACGTTCAGTTGAAATTCTTTCTTACTGATCAATTTTGAAGTCAATTTACTTTGAAACTTTTTTTGTTTAACAATGAATGGTACAAAAGCAATCACCACAGCAACTGTAAATAAACAAAAATTGGCGATTACCATTTTAAAAGAGTAAAAGAGGTATGTGCTACATTGAAATCATATGATCGAACTGTTACAAACGAGTTTTTGAAATTTTTTTAAAAGCAACTGGATGCAAAGGTGTGTAGAGACTTTCCCTAATCAATGACGAAAATTCAAAATAACTGAAATCAGGAACCAAAATCCGAGCGAAAACAAACAAACTACCTGACAACAATGAAAGCAAGAGCAACACTCTGTCTAAAAGTAAAAGTGCCAAAAATATCAATTTTGCTTGAAAAACAATCTAACGAGTTGAAGCAAAACGCAAATTGGTGTTTTAAGTTCACAATGGCAGAAACTACGCTCGCAGTTGTGTTACCTAATTAATCAAAAACTTTCAATCAAACTTCTAATATGGTTTTTCTTGAAAAAAAATCCCAATTTATTTCCGTGCAAAAACTAATTTTTGGGAAATCACTTTGAAGCTGAATATTGCGTTTGTCAATATAAAATGAGAAAAGAAAACATTCAAATATCTTTTTTTAAATAGATTTAGAAGAGCAATTCAAACAAATTTTTTACTTTCAAAAAAACTTCAGTGTTCTAGTCGTTTGAAAAATTTAATTTCTCCTGCTAAAGATGTCAAAAATTTTGAACTATTTGCGAGCACAAATTAGTTTCAACTTGCTCTTGCTGCGGATCTTGATTTGTTAAATGTTAAATGTGACTGCAATCAAGAAACCTTTTAATAATTTTTGGCTCTCTGCAACATTATCTAGTAAACAATTTTCACCAAATCGTAACATCAGTAAAAAATACTTCGATGTTAGGGGACATAACGAAGTTTTTGCTGCATCATCAATGGCAAGCAAATCAAAAAGAAGCTCGGCTGCAGGTTCAAAGAAAATTGCAGAAACATTTCCAAAAAAAATACAGAGTAACTCCACAAAAAAAAAGATTTCAGAAAATTTAAAAATTTGTATAATGAACACCAGTCTGATACTTTTTCCAAGTTATGATAACAATGCTAGGTAGACAGGGAAAATTTGGTGCTCTGACTGATGTTATATTTGTGAAGTTTATTGTTGAAGAGAAAGCTAACTTTTAATTGAAATTTCTCTTTCACTCTTTTGTTATACGGTATGAGTTCGATAAGTATTTTTTTTTTCATCGATTTGAAAAAAATACATGAAATACCATCAACGTACAACTTAATTTTTCAGTAAATCCGTCAAATTCAAATTTTTAACTATTTGTTTGTATTTAGCTGCTGATACTGAAATGCAGTTCGTTTTACTCAAAAAAAGACCATATGGAGGCTTACTTTGAAAAAAAATCCCGTTCGCGACAAACAGTTGAAAATTCTCGCATCAATTACTAAAAAGTTGTACCCAAAATTGATCCGAATTTTTTTTCAATTGTTTGCAAAACCTACTATCCTAGTCTGCAGACAAAATTGTAGTTAAATTTGATGGTTTATGCCTTATTAATGAAATTAAATTTCAGGATGCCGAATCCTGAAATTAAATTAACACCAAGAATTCAAGTTACTCTGAAGCGGACAAGTATAAAAGTTTAACAGGAACAACCTCTCCCGCAAAAGTTCAAGCTAGTTACACTAAGCAATATTGAAACCGATAGCCTACAGAAGTTTTATGTAAACTTGTTGACTACTTTCACCTGTACAAAACTTGAGCCTGAGGATTTTTTATGAACAAATCAGCAAGAAGGAAGGTTGCGAGAGAAAAGACAAGTTCATATGCATGATGATTAACTTCCAGCTGAGCTAACACTTTGAGTGAAAATTGATAAAATTGAAGAATTAATTATAATTCAAGTAACCTTCGTATTTCCTGTCCTGCTCTTCTTGCAGAAAAAAAAATCAAATTTTTTTTTTAAACCAAGTTATTAAATTTCAAATTTTAATTGTTCAATTGAGTGAGGAATGCAAAATATAATTATTCGTTTGATATGAAGAACAGGCTAAAAATTGATTCGCCGGCAATATAAAGAAGTACACATCACACAGCTACCAGTTGAGTTTTATAAAGTAATTCTGACAATGAACAATTCATAAAAGCTTGTCTATTTTTGTTAAGGTCGGGCGCCTCAAGATCAGGAAGAACTGACTCGATTTTCCGAAAGTTACTCTCGAAGAAAATTTGTATTTCAAGGTATTTTATTTTTTTTCTTCGCGCTCAACCCAAGTACTGTTCCTTTTTTGCTAAACACAAGCTTGAAATTGAGTTTTTACAATTGTCCATCTTTAAAATTGTCAATAATTTACGGGATTGCTTGATTGTAATTGATGATGCCTGTTTAATAATTGTTTCTGCAAAAGAAATCAACTTAGCTACATCAGGCCGACATAAAAATATGAATGTTTTTCATGTAAACCATAGATAAATTCAGCAAAATAAACAAACAAGCACAGTAGATTTGAATACATCAAACCAGATAATTTTTATAATGGCTCGAGACTTACAACAAACTGATTGTTCAAGCAGACAGCTTGAAAATGCTAAATGTTTCCGTCATGCATGCATATAAGATGATAATCAAAACAAAATTGGTCGTTTGTAGATACACTAAGATTCCACAACTTCAAAATGTCTTCGTTATTCATCAAACATCGTGCCTGTCATCTTTACCACTCTCAAAAGCAGCAATCTTTTGTTTTGAAAATGAAAGAGAAATAATATGTCTAACGAAGAAACAATTTCATAGACTCGATCGAAAACTCTCAAACCCATAACAAAGCAAATCGAAACAAGAAAAACGCAGCAAACGAATTTTTGCCATCAAAGACAATGATGACGATAAAGACTACAAAAAAGAAAAAAAGTCTAATATCAGTGAAGAAATGAAGATTGATTTAAATTATTCGAAAGATCCAGTTGCCTTTGATAGCGTAAAAAATCTAACATGTATTAGGTAATGCAGGCAAGATAGCCTGAAATTTTGTAAAACATATCCTTGTTTGAAAATCGTTATCAACAAGATCAACTAGATTTTTCTTTTGGCCACTTATAATTAATTTGTTGCCATTCTCGATCTCGCTACTTACGATTGAAACCCTTCAGACCAAGTGTGATAAAAAAAACAGCCGGAGTTTTCAAGAAAATGATAAAAACAAAACAACCTGCAGTGTTTGTTGACAAAGCCAGAGTATTTAAAGAGCGTTCAAAACTCTGTTCTAAATGACAAAACGTCAATTACAGCACTCACAGTGACAAAAAAGCGCGTGCCGAGCGAACCAATTGATCGCTCATTTTTTAAAATCGGGCATAGATTTTAATGGAACTATAGTTTGCCGAGAAATTACAAAGCTCTAAATGGACGATCAACTCATTTGGGAGTAGAGTAACAAAATTAACTCCAAATAAGGTCACAAGAAAGCATGGGTCTGCTTTAGTTTCATTAAAAGCAAACCATTCAAGAAAACTTGAACGAAAAATAAAACTTTATGTTGGCGAATAAAATAGCGACAATAACCTTTTATTGGCGAAAATTTATTTGCCTTCAAGAAATGTTTTGAAAAAACTTACAGACAATTCTATTGTAGAAAATTCTAACCCTACTATAAGTCCTCCTACATACAGTGAATGGCAGAAGAGAGGAATAAGAAAATTTTTATGACGAAGCACTTAGTTGGACTGGAAACTAGTCAAAATTTAAGCAAAATTGGTAAAAGTGAATTGAATGTGCATTTGATTTAAACTGCATACTGCAAAAAGTTCTTTAGCCTGTTTAGACTTTTTTTAACGAGCAAGGAGGTTAGACAGTTTTTCTCGGAGAAAATATTTTGTTAACGAACTAGAAGAAGTTTAATCTACAAATAAGGTGTTTTCGAGAATTTTAAGTATAGCCAGTAAAACCAAGGCTGGCAATCAAAAAACAGTTTTCAAAAAAAAATTATTAGAACAACTGACAATGAGTTAAAATTAAATCTCAATGACAAAATTACTCGATGAAAGTCCTCAGCATTTCTTAGATGATATGAACAGTTGTATTAGAGCAAATGAAAAAATTTCTTTCCCCAGGTCCTCAAAAATCTTTTTCTTAGTTTCAATGCAGAACTTGACGAGAATTGTGAATATAACTTTGTATACAAAACAATACCCTCCTTCGACGCATCTTCTAAGGGAAACAAAATGTACTTCTCTCAATTCTCATACAACATAACCACTGGGACAGGTCTAATTTTGTCTACTAAACATTATCAAAACCAAACCATTAGAGAAGTAAAAACAAGTTATTGATTTAGACGCCTTAAAAGCGGTGCTGCACGCAGCAATGAAACTATGGACATAAAAAAAAATCCATCGTCTAGACTTCAAAAAGTTATTCACTTTTTCTGTGTAATCAAAATCTGAAGACAAAGCAGAACAGCCGGTAGTTGAGCCGATGTTTTCCTTAATGATAAAAACATTACTAATTTTTTACTTAATGGAACCAACCATAGCTCTTTGAATTGTTTTGAAAAACAAGATTTGTTGATAAATTTTTAAAAATTTTATAGCAAAAGGTTGGCCCAGTCTTTTTACTTTTTGGACCAATACCTGAATTTGAAATCATCGGTTAACGCAATCGATTTATTGACAACTAAAAATTCTCTTTGCAAAAACGATGCAAAGTAACTTAGGCAAACGGATCTGATTTTAGCTGCAACATTTTAGCTGCAACATTTAATCGCTGTGTCTGATTCGACGTTGCTCATGAACAACTCCTTGTATTCTTATTTTTCTAGAGTAAAATCTCTGCGTATGGATTCAAACTTTCACTTACCAAAAGTACTTTCGCGCGCAAAATTGAACGGGAACAATGATTTGTGGCTCATGGCTCCAAATTTAAATCTCAACCTAGGGCTGGTCGTGAATCGAGAGAAAATTGCTTTTATGGCCCCGCAGGAGTTGATATTTTTTTACCTGACAAATGTATTGAGTTGCCTTAACCTCAGAATTTCGTATAGAACCTTTCGAAAAAACTTACTGATTAAATTTGAGGTTGATGCGAAGCAGTAGTAGTTACAAAATTTTGTACCCAACCTAAATGTTAGAAAAATGACTGTGGCTGACAATGAACCCTCTGGCTTTGAATCATTTTCACTCAAATGTTTTGCAGAATCTTCCTGTCAAAAAAGTATTAATTTTTTTCGCATTAGCTGGTCAGTGCAGCTGGGAACACTAAGAAAGGTTATGGTTAACAATTGGTGTGAAATTTTTTTTTTTAAATTGCGTTTCCTGGAACAAAACGAACTAACACTTTTTATATAAAAGATTGGGAATGGATGAGAATACTTTCAGAACGAACAATTTGCAATAGCAAGTACATCTGTTTTTACAAAAACTCATTAGCGTCTCTTTTTCAGTACACTATCACCGCCGGCTTTTGTTGCACTGCGAGTATGAAATCTTTTTGGATATCTATCAGCAGCGTTTTGATACGTGCTTATATTTCACTAGCACACAGCTCACTTTTTCCATCAATGAATTTTTGAATCCAGAACATACTAACAGCTCAATTTCACTCGACTGTCGGTTCTCAGATTTTTCGACAGCAAACAGCAAAATATTTGTTTGGGGTATCCGTTAAACCATTTTTTTTGCGTCCGACTGCAAAGTCACAGAGAATGTTCTTCCAATTTCTGCAGTCTGAAAATGGGTGAAAACAGTTGCAAGATCTCATTCAGATCTGTTAACATCTGGAGTAAAAGTTTCGCGGCCGACAACTTTCCACCTCACATCATAAACAATGTCTCCATGACAGTGAAAAATGGACTGCGATTGGACAGAAAACTTTTCTTATTCTTTGCAGGTCCTCACGGTCTCCATCTGTTTGATTACCGTAACATTTATCATTGAATAAACGAAAATTTCAACCAGGTCGTAGAACTGATTACAGGCGTCCCAAAACAAGGCTCAAACTTGACCTTGTGTGGTTTTTTAGTTTTTATATTGCACGTATGATTTTAACCACAGTTCTCAATGGTGACGTTTCCAATTTGGTATAAATAAAATGTCATTTTTTAAAGAGTTGCTTGACTCGCATGCTTTCACAACAAATAATCTTCTTTTAATTTAGTATAAATTCATTCAAATTTCAATTTGTGAGCTCCTGCTTGCTAGTTCAACTTTTTTCCGATATTTCTTCAGCTGGTTGTGGAAAGAAAGTTCGAAGAACATGCTAAAAATTGATTCGCCGGCAATATAAAGAAGTACACATCACACAGCTACCAGTTGAGTTTTATAAAGTAATTCTGACAATGAACAATTCATAAAAGCTTGTCTATTTTGTTAAGGTCGGGCGCCTCAAGATCAGGAAGAACTGACTCGATTTTCCGAAAATTACTCTCGAAGAAAATTTGTATTTCAAGGTGTTTTATTTTTTTTCTTCGCGCTCAACCCAAGTACTGTTCCTTTTTTGCTAAACACAAGCTTGAAATTGAGTTTTTACAATTGTCCATCTTTAAAATTGTCAATAATTTACGGGATTGCTTGGTTGTAATTGATGATGCCTGTTTAATAATTGTTTCTGCAAAAAAAATCAACTTAGCTACATCAGGCCGACATAAAAATATGAATGTTTTTCATGTAAACCATAGATAAATTCAACAAAATAAATAAACAAGCACAGTAGATTTGAATACATCAAACCAGATAATTTTTATAATGGCTCGAGACTTACAACAAACTGATTGTTCAAGCAGACAGCTTGAAAATGCTAAATGTTTCCGTCATGCATGCATATAAGATGATAACCAAAACAAAATTGGTCGTTTGTAGATACACTAAGATTCCACAACTTCAAAATGTCTTCGTTATTCATCAAACATCGTGCCTCTGTCATCTTTACCACTCTCAAAAGCAGCAATCTTTTGTTTTGAAAATGAAAGAGAAATAATATGTCTAATGAAGAAACAATTTCGTAGACTCGATCGAAAACTCTCAAACCCATAACAAAGCAAATCGAAACAAGAAAAACGCAGCAAACGAATTTTTGCCATCAAAGACAATGATGACGATAAAGACTACAAAAAAGAAAAAAAGTCTAATATCAGTGAAGAAATGAAGATTGATTTAAATTATTCGAAAGATCCAGTTGCCTTTGATAGCGTAAAAAATCTAACATGTATTAGGTAATGTAGGCAAAATAGCCTGAAATTTTGTAAAACATATCCTTGTTTAAAAATCGTTATCAACAAGATCAACTAGATTTTTCTTTTGGCCACTTATAATTAATTTGTTGCCATTCTCGATCTCGCTACTTACGATTGAAACCCTTTCAGACCAAGTGTGATAAAAAAAAACAGCCGGAGTTTTCAAGAAAATGATAAAAACAAAACAAAATGCAGTGTTTGTTGACAAAGCCAGAGTATTTAAAGAGCGTTCAAAACTCTGTTCTATATGACAAAACGTCAATTACAGCACTCACAGTGACAAAAAAGCGCGTGCCGAGCGAACCAATTGATCGCTCATTTTTTAAAATCGGGCATAGATTTTAATGGAACTATAGTTTGCCGAGAAATTACAAAGCTCTAAAAGGACGATCAACTCATTTGGGAGTAGAGTAACAAAATTAACTCCAAATAAGGCCACAAGAAAGCATGTGTCTGCTTTAGTTTCATTAATAGCAAACCGTTCAA